GAGAGAGGACAAAGTTAACTTCGGCGGTGAAAATGGAAGAAAACGGTGTGAGTTTCTCGGGTGCAAAGGTTAGTATTTAAAGCACTGGAATAACGGTCGGGAAACGGCAGAGTGCGAATCTTGCTCGGAGTTGATGTATGGCAAATTCGAAACATTACCAAATATTCCGGACTTGGGGGGCATGTGTTAATGACCAAATTTGGTAATATCAGCATCGGAAAGGAAGATTAGATCGAAGCGGAATCAAAGATAAGGATTATCGCGGGAACAGAGTAAGAATCGGCTGGAGTCCGGATCGGCTACGATCGGATCGGCTAAATTCGAGTCAGACTTGTTTTGGTGATGCAGCTGATTCCGACAATACGACTTGGTGTACAACATCGGGTTGAGTTGATATGCTTCAAGGTGATTGCCACGCATGGATAGAGTCCTGGGAAGGCAATTGTATCTATTAATTAGGATATTTTATGTAATTTACTTAGAGATATGTTTGGGCAAAAGTCTGCCGTAAAGACTTATGGTATCTTAGAGTTTGTTAGAGATAAGAGTCGTGTCCGATATGGGCATAGTTTGTAATTTGCGGGTATAAATTGACCCCGAACCCTATGTAATCAATGAACACACACGTTCAATACAATCTCGGCGCATCGCCACCCTTTTACTTTCATTTTGTTTCGACGAGTTCTTGCTTTCGGGTTGAGCTGCATCGGTTTCGATATTCAACAAGAGGTAAAACTTGTTATGGCGGCTTGCGTTCTCGGGATTAGTGCTTCCATCTTTATGATACTCTAATCTTGTTTATGTAATTCGTCGAGTTATCATATATCTTACGTAATCTCTGACAGTATCGCTATCTAACCTACAATTGGGTAACATCTGTCGGTAGAGGGCAGCCGATTAGGTTAGACATCGATGTTGACTTAGATTATACAAGATATCTACCACTCTATGAAACTTCCAGCGGCCTGATTGTCTAGATATTGTTCTTCTTTTCATACTTAATGTTGCATCAATTGAGTTTGATCTATTAAGTCGTGCTTAGAATATCAATCTTTAGCCTGCCTTCTGGTTGCCGATTAGGGTAGCATCGGGGTTTCAGCCGATCTTACCTGATTTAACTATATTTGCTTTATATGCTTCATTGATATGAAGAATCTGCCCTTTATATTAAGATCGTGTAGCATTTAGGTATATTATGCTTTTGTTTGATATATCCTGCTTGCTTTTAATATCTTGGTATAGAGTAGTATCGGAGTATTAGCCGATACGTGCTAGATCTATTTGATCGGTTATGCCATGAACATATATAGTCTCGTTGTTAGTATATATTTTAATCTAAGTGATTTATACTGTCTCGGCATGGTGACCGATCTATCCCAATCACTTGATTTAAGTATATATTGACATAAAGATTATATAATGTTAATATCTACAGCCGATTGAACATATTTAGTTCTTTATTATTTACCTATAACTGCCGATCGATGCATATATGACATCGGCTCAAAGATAAACGATATGTCATCGGCACTTAGCCGATCGGCTATCGTTTATGGATTTAACCACAGTTTCTTTGCCTTTACTTCTTGTTGATTGATCAAATCAACTGGCACGCTTGTATACCCGAAGGCGAGTTTTGGACCTGCACTGGAGTTAAGCAGATCTTCCAGGCCTCGTGTTTTCCATCAACACCGACCACCCATACGCCCCCATGGCAACAACGAGGACGAGGACAGCGGCGACGGCGACAACGACGACCGGCGGCTTCGAGAAATGACGTCGACGAGGAGAGTGGCGACGGCTTTGGATGCAGATGACGTAAACACCTGCAAGCGAAAATCCACTCACAAAAATAACGATTTTCGCAGACCATTTGGTGCATGCAAGTCGTTCCACCGCATGCGATAACTGGATTTGATCATATGGAAAAATGCATTTCGTAGCAGTGACTGGCAGCAATATGGTGTTCTGTAGTAATGAAGGCTTCGTTACAATTGGCAGTTTAATTCATTTTGCTCGTGGTAGGTCATGCAACTGTGGAAGTTGAAGTTGCAGTCGATATACCTGATCGAGATGTACAGCATAACGAAATGCACGGCGCTATACCATACAAGTCTTTCTGTTCTTCTTTTCTTATTCTACAATGGCGAAAGATGAGATGGGTTAATTAGCGAACAACTCCATCTCTTTCTTTAAGCAAGTTAGAATGGCCACGTTGCATCTAGACTTAGTATGAGCGCAGTACGAAATAGCAGTGGGGTCTGAGCAAACTAGATAGAGTTACAGTCTCCCTTCCATCTACATATGATAAAAAATTTTAGTGGGATCTTCGTGGGGGCTCTCATAGTCTTCACGCCAGTAGTAGGGGCTCGAGACCCTGCCGCCCCAAGCTGGATCCGCCCCTGTATGAGCGGGTCTTTTTTAATTTTCTTCTCCTGCAAAGGAGAAAGAAAGATGGGATGGGATGGCTGTTAATTAAGTCAACAGATCTGGTCCTTTATTAAAGTAGGCTAGAATGGCACCCTTGCATCTAATTAAGCAAGTTTGCAACAAAGTAAAGGTCAACGATACTTAATGTTATTGTAAACTAAAAACTTAGTATATGCCAGTAATTATTTGTATACAGCTGTGTAGAGCTTTGCAGGATTCTAATTTTGTGGTAACTGGGCAATGTAGTTGATCTAACCGTTATCATTCAATTGGGAACATATCATATGCACATTTGGCTTGGCATGTATATGTGTGAATGACGAATTTCGTGTCAACTAGCCTGCTTCACTTGCCATCGATCTGTGGGTACATCTATTATCTTTCTTCCCGCTTGTGATGCAGATCGGGCTGGACTTCATCACCACACGTCTCCTTGCCATTGTGCGCCTCCCGCTCACTGTCGCGCAGGGTTTACATTACCGTCGGTAACCGCGCGGTTACTGCGGTTACCGGTCTTACCGTGGGGCACGGTAATAGAAAAAACCACGGTTAACCTCCGTAAATTTAAATAAATTTAAAAAATAATTTGAATTTTTGATAAATTTTGTATGGTTTCGTACGGTTTTTCACAGTTACCGCGTGGTAACCGTGCTTACTGCCGGTGCACGGTAACCCCGGCCCCGGCGGCTTCGCTGTCACGTCAACGAAGCTACCGCCGTCGTCGTCTAACGCAACTGTTGTCAATGCCACATCCCATGTACCCCGCTCTACACTGCCGCTGCGATCACCATGTGCCTCCTCGTTGTCGTGGCCTCCCGCTCGTTGTCGCCCCAACGAGGTTGCTGTCGTTGTCTACCGCCGTCGTCGTCAGGGCCACATCCCGCGCCTCTCCCTCGACTCCACCACCGCGCCTCCGCGCGCCTCTTCGCCAACACGGCCTTCTTCGCCTCCGCCCCTACGCGGCCTCCACCGCCTCTGCCCCACGCGGATTTGGCCATTGGCATGGATTTGGGGGGCCACCGCTGCCTCCGCCTCCGCCTCCATCGGCGTTGAGGAAGCCCGTGGCGACAACAGGGTTGGGTGTGGACATGAGGCGGCGAGCTCGAGCGCCACCATGCCCATCTGCCCCACCTCGAGCTCGAGGATGGGAATGGGCTCGAGGAGCAGTGGGAGAAGAGGAAGAGGGGAGAAAGGGGAGGAAAGAAAAGGGTTGTAGAGACTAACATACGGGTCCCAGTGTCATACTTAGAGTATAGAGTTTAGCAATGAGTTTAGCTTGCCAAATCAATTTCATAGCTGGCTATATAGATGTTTGGAGTGTTTGATTTGGGTAGTCTGTTGAAGATGCTCTAATTACTATAAGAAATGATAGGTACGTTTCACTTACGTCACAAAAACTGAAATTTACGTCATGACTTGAAATTTGTGATGTTCGTATGATGAAAATTCATTTGTCACCTATTATGCGTCTCTAATCAAGTTTTATGACAAAAACTTTTTTTGGCATTAATCTAGTAACGATCCTTCTATCATCATTGAGTCTATGACACCCATTTCTATCATTATTGAGCCTAGAAATCGTCTGAACTCACTAAACTTTGATGAGTAGATGCCACGTCAGATAGAAAACGTCATAAAAATTTTAGCACACCATGATATGGAGCTGACATGGCATATTTTTTTGTCAATTTATTTTGTCACAAAATTTCTTGTGGCCTGCGAAGTCCCATACAATGATCAATTTATGGGTCATGCCCAGTTACAGGCCCGATTTAGGTTTTTAATCCAATATTTAGCTTATATGTTTTATACTCCAAGGCCCTCTTTGTTTAGGCTTAGATTTTTTTATTTAGGTTTTCAATCTAATATTTTGGCTTATACTTCCTCCGTTTCATATTATAAGACTTTCTAGCATTGCCCACATTCATATATAGGTTAATGAATCTAGACATATAAGTGTGCCTAGATTCATTAACATCTATATCAATATAGGCAATGCTAGAAAGTCTTATAACCTAAAACGGATGTAGTATGTTTTATAAGCCGGTGGCTTTGAGCCATATCTCCATCTAACATAAGGAAAAAAAGCTACATGAAGCTTTTTTTTTTTTTGCTTAATAATGTAAGAATGGCTTATATGTCTTTGAAAAAACAAAAAAAAAAAAACTAGTCGTTTGTTTAGGTGGAGTTTTGACTCAAACTTTCTTATAAGCCTAGAAAGCCGAAATAACAATGCAATTGATCTAGTAACTGTTTCTCGGATTAATTAGTGATTATCATAATGATTTATTGACTAACGTGGCTTAACGAGACTTCCTGTTTCATTTGTAAATAGTAATATATATCTAGGTGAAACAGATATGTAACGAGGGGAGGTGCCTCTTACTGTCCTACCTCATCATATCATAATTAGAAAGACTTAGAAAGTCTAGGTCTTTTTACTATTAATTGATCTGTTTTCGGTAGGTAGAATTAACAAAAGGGATGAGAATTAACTATATTTCAACAGCCCCGGACCTTTATTTAAGCAGGCCAGCCAGAACGAACACCGTGCATCTAATAACCAGATTACATCGAGTCAGTGACTCCAGCGTTGTCAATATATATGGAGCTTTTGCTTCTTGTGTTTCTTCTTCTGGCGGCTATGTCAGCCGCCGTGGAGAGCATCACGAGCACGGCGGTGAAAACGGGGTGCCAGGAGCGCTGCGGCGGCGTGGACATCCCCTACCCTTTCGGCATCGGGCCCGGATGCTCCCGCCACGGCTTCGAGCTCTCGTGTGTCAGCAACGGCAGCGGCGCCGGCCCGATCGCGGTGCTCGCCGGCACGTCGATCCAGGTGACGCGCCTGTCCGTCGAGCCGGCCGAGTCGCAGGTGATGCTCCCCGTGGGGTGGCAGTGCTACAACACCTCGCAGCCGACCAGGACATACCCCGACTGGAGCCGCGCGAAGACGGAGATGAACCGCGGCGGAGTGTACCGCATCTCCAACACCCACAACATGCTGGTCGTGCTCGGCTGCAACACCGTCGGCTACACTGAGAGCTTGAGGAGCGAGGGAGGCGCCTACTCCAGCACATACTACATCGGCTGCATGTCCTACTGCAACAACTCGGCGAGCGCGCAGGACGGCCAGTGCGCCGGCGTCGGCTGCTGCCACGTCGACATCCCACCGGGGCTCACCGACAGCTCCGTCAACTTCCGGGTGTACGACCACACCGGTATGGTGGACTACAGCCCCTGTGACTACGCCTTCCTCACCGACCGGACCAACTACAGCTTCCGGCGAGCCGACCTCATCAAGATGGACAAGAACCGGAACGTTCCGGTGTGGCTTGACTGGGCGATCCGCGAGAACGGCTCCATGTCCTGCGCTGAGGCCAAGGGCAAGCCAGGGTACGCCTGTGTCAGCGTCCACAGCGAGTGCGTCGACTCTACTAATGGTCCGGGTTACAACTGCAAGTGTACCGCAGGCTACGAGGGAAACGCCTATGCTCCTGATGGATGTACTAGTAAGTAACAATTTCCTTCTATCAGTACATTTGTTACATACCATTTACCTCCCTCCATCCCATTTTAGATACAGTTATGGGTTTTTTGTGTTCAAATTTTAACCATCCGTCTTATTCGTCTTATTTAAAAAATTTATGTAAAAATTTAAAAAAAGTCACACATAAACACATAAAATACTATTCGTGTTTTATCATCTAATAACAATAAACATACTAATCATAAAATAAATTTCAAATAAGATGGACAGTCAAATGTTAGACATATGTCACGCCCGGAATTTCTATCCAAAATTCCAAACGCTTACATGTGTGTGAACCCTCGTCCAGGAATCAGCCGAGGCACACAATAACAAATTGATAATAGAGTGCAGTTATTACTCTAATTAATAAGCGAATAAAATGTCATTACAGAGGTAGATAGTTCCTCTCAATCAATAAAGATCTAAGCAGCGGAAAGATAAGATAAACGGCGCAGACGACTCCACTCCACAGGCAGCTTGACCAGGGCTACACCTAATCCTCCACACCATCAGCATCACTGTAGAACTCTTCCTCTGATGAATGATTGCAAGGTGAGTATATGACATACTCAGCAAGTCACGCAGCAAATATGCAAGTGCACAGGATCACAAAGGATGGCATAATAGGGTTTCATTTGTATAAACAGCATTTAATAAACATTTCAGAATTTAATAAAACAGTTAAGTAATAATTAATCAATATTAATCCAACGCTATACAACATACCCTGTTGTATAGGCCCAACCATTCTGAACAACCATACCCGGCTATACAGATCTATCTCCAAACCAGGAATATACCATTCCAAACCAGGAGCTAAACAAATTATTACCATTTATAGCATCTATTATCATGATGAGAGGTGTGAGACTAATCACGAAAGACATTGTTAGACCCGCCCATAACCGCGGGCACGGCTATTCGAATAGTTTTACTCTGATCAGAGGTGTACCACTGTACCCACAAGACACAGCCCCACATCATGTCACCATGTGCCTCAATACCACCACGGTACCTCGGAAAGGAGCTGTGACAGTACCCCTCGCACAACACAATCCACCGCAGCGCACCATTCCTGGATCATAATCACCCCCTTATAAACAAGGCATGGACTCCCCAGCGACCCCCGTGGGCTTATCTCCGCCACTTCTCAGTCTGGTGCCCCGCAATGAACCATGCTATACAAAAGGTAAAGCCGTTGCCCACGCTGGCTTGTGGTTGGCACGATTAATGTTTCACAACCGAAACTCGTGAACCGGTCCTTAATTGTCATGAGCACGACTCTCAAAACCATGTGCTCACAACCCACCATTATCAAGTTTTAGTTGGCAAATAATTAATTAACCAATCACGATTGACCATCGTGAGCTATCATTAAGCCATCATTAAATAATAGTGAGTCATAAGTTATCCCAATAGTGTGCTATTGTTTCTAAGCATGGCTAAGCAATCACATCTAATATCTAGCTGAACCAATATATATAAAGCTCAACTAGTCAAGTTATAATAACCCAAGGTATCAAGGAATAAAGTAATCAAGAACAAAAGGCTATAACAAACAATAGGTTGATTCCACCCAATGACATTCGAAAATAAATGCAATATTTGAATAGAAACAATAGCTTTAAATGGGATCAACATGCTTAAAGGGTTGTTTGGGATCTGTGTGACTTGCCTTGCTGGCCTTGGAACTCTTCAAATTCTTCTCCTGCGAAAACGGACTCTCCGAAAACGTCGGAATCTAAACAGAAAAGAGCAAAAACACCAAAACAGCACATAAACAAGCATGAACAGAACATGTGGATATTTTTATCATGTAGATCTCAATTTTAGAAAAATTTAGAGACTTGAACCAACTAAATCCGAGCTAAGATGAATTAGTTATGAATTTTTAAAGATTAAATCGGATTAAAACACTTATATGGATTTTAATAGAATTATGACGCAATAATGAATTATTTTTGAAAAGGAAAAGGAAATTATTGCGTCAGCGGCTAGGGTTTGCGGTGGACCGGGCGCACGGCAGCGGTTCACGGGAACGAACGGCCGAGATCGATCCATCCAAAACGGACGGCCGAGATCGATCGGGTCTACGGCGGCTCACGGCAGACGGACCCTGATGACGTCAGCGGTGACGTCACCACCGGCGGCGGCTCGGGCTTGCACACTCGCCGGCGAACGACGGCGCTTCGGCACGAACAGAGGGCACCAGGACGTAGAGCGCGACGCGGCGAACTCACCGATGACCAAAACGTCGGCGGAAGATCAACGGACGGCGACGGCGACGAGGAAGAAGCGACGGCGGTCTTCGGCTTGACGACGACGGCGGTGCTCCGGCGATCTACAGCGGCAGCGAAGGGGCGGACGAGGACGGCGGTGACTTGGCGACCACGATGGCAACCTCCCCGAGCGACGACGACGACCGGAACTCAAATCTCCTTCTTCTTCAAAACTCAAATCTCTGCGGCGATTGTCGGCATAATTCTTATGACGAGACTGAGCCACTCGCAATCTTTCTTGAATGATCTTTACCTTTTCTTCTGCTTCCCTTAGGATATCCGTCCCGAAAACTTGACGTTCTCCCGTTTGATCCCACAAAAGCGGAGTGCGGCACTTCCGACCATACAGTGCTTCGTAAGAAGCCATCTGAAGACTAGCTTGATAACTGTTGTTGTACGAAAATTCTGCATAAGGTAGATTCTTATCCCAACTTCCACCGAAGTCTAAAGCACAAGCTCTCAACATGTCTTCCAAAATCTGATTTACCCTTTCGGTTTGTCCGTCTGTCTGCAGATGATAAGCAGTACTAAAGTTCAGCTTAGAACCCATCTCTTCCTGAAGCTTCTTCCAAAAATTTGAAGTAAACTGACTACCTCGATCAGACACTATTTTCTTAGGGACGCCATGCAAACACACAATCCTTGCCATATACAATTCCGCCAACCGACTTCCAGAATAAGTTGTCTTTACTGGGATGAAATGAGCCACTTTGGTAAGTCTGTCGACTATCACCCAAATAGAGTCATGGCCTGATGACGTTCTGGGTAGACCAGTGATGAAATCCATTCCGATTTCCTCCCATTTCCATTCAGGAATCTTCAAAGGCTGCAGCAAACCTACGGGTTTCTGATGTTCTGCCTTGACTCGCTGACAAACATCACATACTGCTACGTATTCTGCGATTTCACGCTTCATACTTGCCCACCAAAATCTTTCCTTGAGATCCTGGTACATCTTGGTACTACCAGGGTGAATGGAGTATAAAGTATCATGAGCTTCTTTCAGAATTGCATCTTTTAAATCTTTGTTGTCGGGGACGCAGATTCTCTCACCCAACCATACAGTTCCTTGCTCATCTTCCAAGAAACCGATAGCTTTTCCTCTTCTTATATTCTTCTTGATTTCTTGAATATCAGGATCATTAATTTGGGCTTCTCTAACTTGATCAATTAGAGTGGGCTTCGCTTCTAAGGCTGCAACAAAACCTCTACTGACAATTCCCAAATTTAATCTTTCAAATTCCTTGCATAATTCCAATGGTAACTGTCGTCCTTCCGTAGCATTGCAATAGCCTTTCCTGCTAAGAGCATCTGCTACAACATTAGCCTTTCCCGGGTGATAATGAATTCCCATGTCATAATCCTTAATTAATTCCAACCATCTCCTTTGTCTCATGTTCAGATCCGGCTGAGTAAAGATATATTTTAAACTCTTGTGATCGGTGTACACCTCTGTACGAGTACCGAAAAGATAATGACGCCAAATCTTCAACGCATGAACCACTGCAGCTAATTCAAGATCATGAGTAGGGTAGTTCTTCTCATGCGGACGTAACTGATGAGATGCGTAGGCAACCACCTTCCCATCTTGCATCAGAACACATCCTAACCCAAGCTTAGATGCATCGCAATACACTTGGAAACCCTTCTTTGGATCAGGCAAAATCAAGATGGGTGCTGATATTAAGCGACTTTTCAACTCTTGAAAACTCTGCTCACATTCTTCTGACCACTTGTACTTTACATCTTTCTGAAGCAGTCGTGTCATGGGCTTAGCAATCTTGGAGAAATTCTCTATAAATCTCCGATAATAACCTGTGAGGCCTAGGAAACTGCGGATCTCTGAAACTGTCTTTGGTTGTTTCCAGTTGGTTACGGATTCCACATTACTAGGATCAACGGCAACTCCTCCTGCTGAGATGACGTGACCAAGGAACTTCACTTCAGACAACCAAAATTCACACTTGCTAAACTTAGTATACAGTTGATGTTCTCGTAGCTTCTCTAGTGCAAGACGAAGATGTTCTTCATGCTCTTCTTTGGTTCGGGAGTAGATAAGAATGTCATCAATAAAGACCACCACAAACTTGTCTAGGTATTCCATAAACACCTTATTCATCAAGTTCATGAAGAAAGCGGGGGCATTGGTAAGTCCAAAAGACATAACAGTACATTCAAACAACCCATACCTAGTGGTAAAAGCTGTTTTAGGTATATCTTCCTCTTTGATTCTCAACTGGTGATACCCTGATCGAAGATCTATCTTGGAGAAAACAGTGGCACTTTTAAGCTGATCAAACAAATCATCAATTCTGGGTAGCGGGTACTTATTCTTGATAGTCACATCATTTAGTGCACGATAGTCCACACACATCCTCTGGATATGATCTTTCTTTTCCACAAAAATAACTGGAGCTCCCCATGGAGATGAACTCGGTCTGATGTATCCTTTCTGAAGCAAATCGTCCACTTGCCTCTTGACTTCTGCCAACTCATTGGCTGCCATTCTATAAGGTCTCTTATGGATCGGAGTTATTCCTGGTACCAAATCTATTCTGAACTCTATATCCCTTTTAGGCGGCATACCAGGTAAATCGTCTGGGAACACATCACGATACTCCCGGACTACAGGAATCTCTTCCAAAGTTATTTGGTTCAGTCTTGACCTTAAAGACTCGGAAGACGATGCATGAACAGTTAC